TGGGGGGGGGGGGGGTTCCTCGTCCCTAAAAAAAAAAAAATTTTCCCGGATACCCCAAGACGGGGCCGGGGGAAAGCCCCTCCCTTCTAAACACCCCTTTGGAGGGAGGGGCCCGCCCCGTTTAAATTCCCCGCCCGCCCAAAAATATAAGAAAAAAAAAATAAAAAAGGGGGGTTGGGGCAACAGCCCCGGGGTGGGGTTCCTTTTTCCCCGGGATATTTTTTAAAGGGTTAGCCCCTTGGGGAATTGGAACCCAACCCCCCCCCTGTTTTCTTTTGAACCCCCTCAAATGGGGCGGCAGGGGGTCCACACCCGGGCCAGGGGCGGGGGAAAGGAATGGGGGGTGGGGGGGGGGGGGGGTACGCAGAATCTCGTACGAAGCACCTAACAGTAGATGGTCACAGCAGTTGATCCTCAGGGGGGAGGGTGCACCGGAGGGGGGGTAGTATGCCCGAAACATGCTATTTTCTAGAAACCACGCCAAAGTACCATCTGCAAAAAAGTTGTTCTACTTACGCACGTCATCGAAGGTGGCGCCCTTGAGCTCGACGTAAATCCACAAGAGGGGGGGGGGGGGGGGCGTCACGTACAGATTCGACCCAAATCAAGTCCGCCCCAACCCCTTGACAGCAGTCCCTCTCTTCATGCAAAACCATTCTTGGTGCTATGATGAGTTTTGGGGAGCAATTATTGCCCCCAAAGTTCTTAGCAGCCTCCCTCCTTCCCCACGCATCGAGCTATCCCTCCCAGCCTAGCAAGCCGCCGTTCTCCGTGTCCTCGACGGGAAACTAATAGACGGGCATTTTAGAGTCAAAAACAAGCACGCTCGCTCATTGGTGGTGTCGCACTCGAACGCGCTTGACACTTCTTCTGAGAGCAAACACCATACAGTCAAGCTTCTTAATTCGTCTTGTACGCCGTATCCACAGTGGTCTAATCACGCCCCAACTCATCCCAACATCAAAACTCGAGCTCCTCCATGTACACCAGCAGCGGTAGGAATGGTGGTGGTGGTGGTGGTGGTGGTCCGCAGAACCGCCAGCAAAGCAAGCAAGGCAAGCAAAGCAAAGCAAGCAAAGCAAACAAAAAAGGGGTGGCACAAAAAAAAACTGCCAAACTAATTAATCTAGTCGATGGTGAACCCGGTGAGCTCGAAGCAGATGCACAGCCCCAGGCACTCCTCCAGCTCCTTCTTGCTCTCGTAGGTGGGCAGGTCGAGCTTGTTGAAGCACGTGTGCGCCCGGGGGAAGGCGCTGTCCCTCTTCGTGATGGACTGGAGCGAGAACGCCCGGAAGCTCCCGTCATTGCTCTGCCGTCCGAGGGAAGGGATAGCGGACAAGACAAAGAGTCACACAAGAGCGTAAACAAAGCCTTGCGGGAACAGAGTTAAAAAATTGTATCATCGCCTGTGTATTTACGGTCGGTACGTTGTGGAGCACAACAACGCTCGAAAAGATAGAACTATCAGCGGCGGCGAGAGGTGTTGCAATGGCGCGAGCAGCCTGATAGACTGGAAAGAAAAGATAATAACAACTAAAAGGCCATTGGAGAACAGACAGTAGAATCTACGCAGGACAGCATATGCCAAACCAATCACCGTAGGACAAGGGGCAAAACGTCACAAGAAACACAACTGTTGTACAGCAGATGCCAACCAATAAGGGCAGGACAAAAAGGGGAAACATGTCACAAGAATGAAAGTACTCTCGTATCCAGTAGGCCCACGTTCTAGCGCCAGCCTACCATCCTCGCGAACAACGATGCAGGCGCTACCCGCCAACATAAACCAAAGGTTCAACCAACCCAACCAACACACTTACCGACAACCCCTCGCACAACTCCAACCAAAGCAACAGTTAACGGGGGCTTTTGGTTAATCTGTTCGGCTTGACCTTTCAGCTTATACTTTTCGGTTGAACCTTTTCGGTTTCACGTTTTCGGTTAAACCTTTTCGGTTAAACCTTTTCGTTTTAGTGTTTGGCTTAACTATTCCGGATTTTTCGGTTAATCTGTTCGGCTTAACCTTTTCGGCTAAACCTTTCGGCTAAACCTTTTCGGCTGAACCTTTTCGTTTTCATGGTTTCGGCTTCTCTTTTCCGAGTTTTTCGGTTTAATCTGTTCGGCTGAACCTTTTCGGTTTCATGGTTTCGCCTTGGCTATTCCGGGTTTTTCGGTTGATCTGTTCGGCTTAACCTTTTCGGCTCATACTTTTCGGTTAAACCTTTTCGGTTTCACCTTCACGGCTTATCCTTCTCGGTTTCATGTTTTCGGCTTAACTTTTCGGTTTTTCGGTTTAATCTGTTCGGCTGAACCTTTTCAGTTTCATCATGGTTTCGCCTTAACTATTCCGGGTTTTTCGGTTAATCTGTTCGGCTGAACCTTTTCGGTTTCGGCTTAACTTTTCGGCTTATACTTTTCGGTTAAACCTGTTCGATTTCACGAAACCATTTCGGTTTCACGTTCTCGGTTTCTTGTCATCGGTTTCACGTTTTCGTTTTAAATTTTCGGTTTTAACTTTTTCGGTTTCACGTCAACTGTTTCCGACAAGCCCTTGTACAACAACTCTGCGCGGCACCTGCAAGGCCTTGAAGCCATGGGCAGGGAGCCGGCTGCTCCCCGTGCAGAACTGCAGCAGTCGTGCCTTCTCGTCCTCGGAAAACGCCTCCACCACCTCCCAAAACCACTGCAGAATCCCCGACAACCAACGGTAAGGAAAGACAAGACACGACAGGCACAAGCAAGGGGAAGGACCAAGCGCAGGATTAACACACACCCCGCAACAAGCGGAACACAATGCAAGCAGGCGTTTGCGCAGAGCGGATGCGGAGAAGGCTGCCGGGGGACTGACTCTCCTCCTCCCCGTAACCACCGGGCCAACTACAAGCAACTACAAGCACGCTTGGGGGGGGGGGGGGCGGGTCAAGGGTGTCATTGCTGTAGTCGTACCCAAAAAAAAAACCCCTTCCAGGGGCATCAAAAAAAGGCAACCCCCGGGAAAAATGCCTGAGGGGGAAACCCTCGGCAAATCTTTTGT